TCAAGTTCAAAGCCAGAACTTAGGGAGGTCCCCTGTCTCAAAACAACAACAAACGGGCTAGAGATGTTGCTCAGTAGTTAAGCACCCCAGGGTTCAATCCCTGGTACCCCAAACAAACCAAAACAAAACAAAACAAAAAAAAACACATGTTCATAGTAGTTAATCTCACATGTCAGGATTTAAGTTTCAAGATTATGAGGGAGAATGTGATTCAGTAAAAAGAAGAATAAGCATCATTCAAAAATGAATAAAGAGAATTTGTACCCTCTTTTGGGGAGAGAGTCAGCATGTACTTGATTGATACTTACATTATTTTAGGCAGAAGCATGGTTGTGCTATTGCTTGGAAGTTAAATATGATTAAAAATGAATGTACAGATTCTCGTAGGCAAGAGGTAAAATCTGGTGGTTCTGTGCTGTAATGACTAAGTTAGGTTAGAACAACATTTCATAGAATTCCCTTGCCTGCATAGTTCTGGGTTAGGTCTGCATAAGAGAACTCTGCTTGTCATTTAGAAGGTAGAAGTGAACAGTAACTATATTTTCCATATTTAAGAAGGTCAGGATAAGTCAAGGGAAGGTGGCCTTGTTGGCATGGGGCAGCAGCAGGGCTTACAACTCCAGCTGCTGCTAGATAACTGGAAAACAATGGAGCTTGCAGCTCCTCCAGGGCCTCTTGGTTGGCCTCCTTCAGCTACTCTGAAACCTCAATCAGGTTGGGCACAATTCCATGATGAAGAACACCAATTTTCTAACAGATGTCCTGCATCTCAAAATTGGATAAGTGGCAATGAGACTAATACATGTTCTGGTGAGAAACAGAAGTACATCTTTTTAAGTAGTAGTTTGTCTTTGCTTTTCTCACTTCACATCCATCATTTCTTCCCACCTGCTGGCTCTGCCAACTTTATACTCAGTGCCAGACACACTGTCAACAGAGACAGACTTCCATACTCACATAAGGACAAACCCTTAAAATAAATCCTTTATAACACGATAGTACTTCTGCTTCTCTAATCAATGATACAAATTTAATGTCAATGCATGCAACAAAGTCAACATCATCATATCTTAGACAAAACCACAATGGATTAAAAATAAARTACAACTAGTTGTAATAAATCAGACTATTTTACATTGTTCAGAATTATGCCATTTCTAATTCTGGCCTAATAACAGTACAAGTTACTATAGAAAATGAGATTAAAACGTCAAGTGAATGATTTCACCAATCCATAATAGAGAGGGGCTGCAAGTGTATAGGGCTTACGTTACTATTTCATCTCAAGAGCATAGTAAATTAAGCACTCCAGTGTTCCTAAGTTTACATCTGATGCAGGGGAACTATCATTCTTCAGAAATAGTATATTTCTGAAATATACTATACATATTAAATATATATATATATATATATTCTGAAAAGAACCCAGTGTTGTTACTCCACGAGTAGAGATACTATGTAGCAAAGACCATATCCACTATACCATATAAAAGACTGAAACAAGCTCACAGTAGAAGTTCCTTGCCTCTGACAACCATCCTAACCAAATAAGTAGCAAGATCTTATCTATAAGCACAACAAAAGCTGATCAAGTTTGTGAACTAATGGATGGAAATACATCAAAATGCTACAAGTGCTTGTCTGAAAGGTAGAATAATGCATGTTTTTCTCTTTTGCACTTAAAAAAAAAAAAGCTTCAAACAACTCTATTTCTAGGAACTTATCTTAAGGAAATACTCAGAAAAATACACAGATTTAGATTTGAATATGTTCAATATACATTTTAAAAAGACAAACAAATAATGTCATTTAAAAAAGCAAGACAGTGAGGCATTAAAAATAAACACATACACAATTATTTAACAATATATCTATATTCTATATTTACATTACATTTCTAAAATCACATTACAAAACAATATGTTCAAAATGCTAAAATTTTTGTTGGAAAAATAATACAACTAATGTTAACAGTATTAATTTGAGTAGCAGGGTTATAAGTGATTTATTTTCTTCTTCATGTTCTTAAGTTCTTAGAAGCCTATCAAAAACATCATTCCTTGCAATCCTTGTGCATTACTAATGGGAATATAAAGTTGTATAACCACTTTAGAAAACAGTATAGCAGTTCTTCAAATTATCTTATGATCAAGAAATTCCAATTCTAGGTACATACACTAAAGAATTAAAATGAGAAACTTAGACATTTCTGCACCAATGTTCACAGTAGCATTATTCATTATAGTCAAAAGGCAAAAAAAAAAAAAAGAACGAAATTCTGATGCATGTTACAAAATGGATGAACTTTGAAGACATTATGCTACATGAAATAAGCCAGGCACAAAAGACTTCATCACATGAAGTTCTGAAAATAGTCAAATTCATAGAAAGGAAACACAGTAATGAGTTAATGAGTTTTAAAGTTTCAGTAGGATGATGAAAAGGTTCTGATGGTTGCACAACCCTGTGAAGGTATTTAATGCCAATGAACTGTTCACTTAGTAATAGTTAAATGGGAAACATTGTGTATCTTTTACCATGATTTTTTAGAAAGCTGAAAAAAAACCATCATTTCTATAATTAGAATTTTTAAACATTTTAAAAACAAACATTTATCAAGGAACTTACAATTCAATATAGAACAAAGTGAATTATAATCATTTTCACTAACCTGAAATAGACGCCATTCTAAAATCGAATTGGAAATCCAAATTTCTTTCTAAAAATGAAAAACAAACACAACAACCATTTTTTTTTTTAAACAAACAGTACTAGTTGGGCCAGGGATGTGGCTCATTGAAACAGTGCCTGTTTAACATGCGTGCAGCCCTAGTTTGATCTCCCATTACCACAAAAAAAAAAAAAAGGAAGGAATACTATTGACCTTTCAAAGAGGACTACATGTTTCTTCCACAATGTTTTTGTTGTAATTGTTGTTTTTAGAAAACCCTCTAGGTTTTAGAGAGGTGTCCAAAGTCACATAAACATACATGGGATAATTACAATGTCAATAACATTTATCAAACTCCAACAAAAGTGATGTAGAAAAAAGTACAAATATTAAAGAATTCTGCCACTAAATTATTGTGTGACCTTCCCAAAATTACACACCCTGTTTCTCTAAGCCTTCTTCCCTGCATGCAACATTGAAATGATAAAATCTATCATAAATAACAAGTTGGATAGATCCAAATGTCCCAGATTAAGCAAAATACGTCAAAATAAATTAATCATTTAACACTTTTTTGAGCACTTGCTTCAAAGAAATATAATTTAATTTATATTTAATATAATTTAATTTATATTTAAATATTAATATTAAAGGAGAAATTGGTATTCTATTATATAAATTAAATTATATAAAATATAATTTAATTTATATAAATTAAATTATTTAATTTAAAATATAATATTATATTTTATATAATTTAATTTATATTTATATTTTAATATTAATATTAAAGGAGATATTGGTATTCTATTCTATTGGGTTAGATTTCAGGAGAAAATACAGACAGGTTAGTGATGGGGAGAAAACATGATTTGTGTTGTTTTAATGACTAAAATCTAAGCATACATATATGAASGAGTGGAAAATAAAGTTTGAGAGAAGGAATTTTAAATTCCCCATAATCCTATGAAAACCTCCCCCAACTCTCTCATATGACAATCAACATTTTCTAAAACTATGTTAGTGCTCTCCAAAGATAGCTTCAGCAGCATCCTAGCCTTACTAAGACTATTTCCTATATAGAACAATTCTTTCTACGTAGAATTCTGAAGCCACCAAAAGGCTGGAAAGACATGCAGGGTGCACATGCTAAAAATATGGAATGGGCACATCATTGAAAGACAGCTAAGAAATGGTGATAGCCAAGGACTTCTAATTCTTTACGTAACTCTCTCTTCACTTCCTCCTGGAAATACGACATTCCACCCATAAACTATAAGGTCCTCTAGCTGAGCAGGGTTTGAGTCTCTTCACCTTTGCATCCACATCGCCTAGCAAACTAACTACATCTATCCTTTCGAAAGGGTAGGATCTATATCCAGTTTTTCCCTACTGTTTTAAATGACTCCTTTGATTATGCTATTAAGACTGATCCTTCCCCAAATAACGTGATTTGATAGCAAAATATCTCAACATAAAATGTATTCAAAAATTAATAAGATACAGCAGGTCTTTCAGTCAGAAGTCGATTAGGCATCCACAGGAAAGTTTTCCCGCAGTGACAACCGTCATCAATATTTGAAGGAAATGCCGCTGAGGTCCAACAGTCTAAACCAGATAAACATCCCTCCACCACACTTCACCTGCAACTCGCAGCCATCAAGTACTGATAATTCCCTCTCTTATGTCACTGTGAAGCAGAGGGTAGACGAAGCGTCCTTAGTGTAATTTCAAAATAAATGATGGCTGTTAGTAAAGGGGTTTGGGGAGCAAAGCTTCCTGAGTGAAAGTCTGGAGAGATTAAGAAACAAACAAAAACAAAAATGGTCCATAAGCGAACTTGCCACTCAAAAGCCTGAGCTGAAAGAAAGCAGGGCAGTGATTAACGCCCTGATTTCTCCTCCGCTAAAGTGTGGATGGAAGGAAGTGATCCTGGATGGGTCGGTTCGCCCTCTTAAGAAAACGATCAAAGGGGCGCCGTCTTGTCCCTTCAAAGCTTTAACAGGAGTCACCCCATAACCTCTGTCCATGAGGGTGAGAGAAGCCGCCTTCTACACCCGGGTCCCCAAGCCCAAACAGCCAGGGCCTGGAAACCGCTACCCACCTGTCGGTCCTGCTCTGCAATAAAATCTTCCCGCCACCCAGCCGGGAGAATCCACCCTTCCGGGTCGGCACATTCAACCAATCGCAAATAATAACCTTCTCTAATTGAGCAAGGGGCGTGGCCAGCATTCGCATCATCGAACAAGACCACGGGTTATTGGTTGATTTTGTGAGCAGGTTTAGCCAATGGAAAGCTGTCTTGAAGTTGAGGTGTGGGTGGCTGCGTGTTTCCGGAAGACGTGGCGGCTCTCCGGGGCTGCTCCCCGGCTTCTTTTCTCCCTACTCAGCTTTCCACCCTGGGCATTCTGAAGTGCTGCCTCCGCTGCCCTCACCACTGCAACCATGATCTCCTTAACGGACACCCAGAGTAAGCGCCTGTCCCCGGGGTCCCCTCCTTGATCCCCGCTCACCCCTCGCTCGGGCTGGTTTCGCCCGTGGKTCTCTCAGGCTGGGTCAATGAATGAAGCTCTGCGTTGGGGCGGTGGCCTGCGAGATTGGGAAAGGGCTGCCGGGACCTGAGGACTGACTGAAGCGGACCSGGGCTGGACTTGCAGTAGCCGACCTGGCCTGGGAGAAGAGTCGATGGGGCTGGGTGGAGCGCTCAAGCTGGGGAAGGGGAGCTTWAGTTGAGAGTGTCTCGCGACGGGGTCGCGCTGCTCTCCTCACCCGGGTGAGATGGGCTCTTTGTTCCGCCGGCCCGCCACGAGAGAAAGTTTGGTGTGCGGCCCGCGCAGTGGGGTCGGTTCTGCACATGACATACTTGGAGTCCTTTACAAGTCACTGGCTGGTTAATTTGGGGGAGGTGGTATTTTAAATGTCACCTGCTGTGGGTTGTTTTTGAAACCGTGCTTAAATATTTTGAAGATTTTCCTTTCGCCACCACTGGAAGCTGCCTTCCAAAAATCCCTTATAATTTCACTTTTCTGCCTGCCAAAGTTTCAGCAGCATTAAAAAACCACATTATGTTCAGTTAAAAGATTTCTTTCGTTAGTATTGTATAGTATGCTTTATGGCTTGTTTTACTATTTTGGCATCACTTTCTGCCTGCCAGAATTCTCCAAGCCCATCTCATCTGTATGGTTCGATGTTTCCTTTTCTTGAAAGATAACATTTCCAATTTTGTATTCCTTCTTGTGAATCTTAATAATTTATTTTTATTTACAAACTGCTTAAACTCTGTGCTTTCTTACCTTTTAATGATCATGATAGTCTCTTTTGGCTCATTTTCTTTTGTCTTCCATGCCTTCCGTTTTTGGGAGTACGCTTACTCAATTTTTCAAAATTATAAGAATTAACAATCCTCTGAAGTTAAAGTAGAACTTCATTTAAAATGCTCTATTTCAAAATGGAGTCTTAAGATTTAGATTCAAGTCATGGCAGACTTGAACTTAACAGATCTTTCAGTCTTCTCCGCACACTGCCACTCCAGTCAGGCTCTTTTCCCTCCTGAGTTTGTACTGGGTCTGGACCTTGGGGCCTCCTGCTCTGGCCCAGGATGCTTACCCATTTTGGTACACTTTGTTCCATCAGCCTCACTCCACTCTGATGAGAAAAGAGAAAATATGTAAGTGTAGACCTTTAGATCTACTATGATTATATATTTTCTTCCAATTTATCATGTGTATAAATCATGTTAATTCTTATATGAGCCATGTAAAGCAGAGAGAAGCATACCCCTTCATAAATTAAATGAGGCACAAAAGAAATTCATAAGAAAAATAGCAGAAATAAGACTTGATCCTAGTTCTTCTGGCCCAAAAACTTTTTGTTCTTTTCAGTGTACTCCACTAGTATCTAAAAAAAACTTTGAGGTCCTAGAATGAGGACTGAGTCTGTAATATATATGTATATATTAAAATATGACTTATCCTATGCATAGAGATTCTCTTCTATTGAAGATTTATTATAGGAATGAGTGCCTAGTTTACCTTTCCAAACACCAAAACAAGGGGGATTGGTTTAGTCTGTTATCAGACTTCATTATATTTGTGAGAAAGATGTAATTTTACTCTTTTTTTTAACTTACCAGATGTTTTAGGTGAGAGAGCAGAATGAAACATGAAATAATTAGTTTCAAATTGTGTTTGTGTTTAACTGCAAAAGATTGGCCATCATTCAAGTGATTTGCCAGAATTATTCTGGGATTTCAATTCTAGGAGAGGGTGACCAAACACTAATAAGAGTAGAATAAAAATAACAATTCATGATTGTCTTAGGGGATTCTATAATAGCACTCTCTCCACTCCATAAAAACAAAAAGATGGGCTGGGGATGTGGCTCAAGCGGTAGCGCGCTCGCCTGGTATGCGCGCGGCCCGGGTTCGATCCTCCAGCACCACATACAAACAAGGATGTTGTGTCTGCCAATAACTAATAAATAAATAAATATTTTAAAAAAAAAGATTTATTAAGGAAGATGAGATAGAGCCAGTTCATGTTGTATCCAATTTGTCACTTTATTTTCTCACATTGCATAAAATTCTATCATGATATTCAATTCAATTGAGTTATTTAGTACAATTGATATCCAGTTGAATTCTTTTTGTGACTTTTTTTAAGAGTATAGTAAGACAGTGCTCCTTTTAATCAATTATGAATGAGTTCTAAAATGCTAGCAGTGATTGCCATTGTATTACACATATTGTTCCTTATAAAACTTCCATAATAGGTTTTTTAATGTTAAATAAATTCACTTTTTAGTTTGCTTTCATTAATCTGTTAACTTTTTTTTTTAATTTGAGGGTAGGAGTATGAAGATACAATACAAAAGGAAGATGAATTTATTTTACTATTATTCTAGTAGAAAGAAGGCAGCTCTCTGTAGGGCTTTTAATAGCCTTACAGGGCTTCTGAATTGGATAAGTCATATTTTAATATATACATATATATTACAGACTCAGTCCTCATTCTAGGACCTCAAAGTTTTTTTTAGATACTAGTGGAGTACACTGAAAAGAACAAAAAGTTTTKGGGCCAGAAGAACTAGGATCTGAATTCTGTAAATGAGAAAGGGTAATGAGACCATTTTGAGTCTTTGGGCCTATGTAGATCTGACAATACTTGGGAACATCATGCCAGGGCTAGTTTTGGCTAAGGTGTTACAGACAGCTGTTCCCTTCTGACTTATACTGAATAAAGCAGTAGGAATGTTTTGGTTCCTGCATTGTAGTTGTAGGACCATTGGCTAGAAAGTGAGAAGACCAGACCTGCATTCTAAGTTGACTCCATACCAGTATCACACACAAAGATATTTCTGCTGATTGTATGTTCCAGGACAAATCACTTAATCTTTCTGAGTCCTTGGTTGTCCATATGAAACAAGGGGCCATTGCACTGTTTACCTCACAATTTTATTAAAGGAATTACCAGATACTGTATAAACAACTCTTAACCAATAAGCCATTTATCAGATGGTGTCCTCTTTCACTGCAGTCAATTTTTAATAGATCTAGTGTATACACTAATATCAAATTTAAATCACCTAAGTGTGTTTTTCCCAAAGTTCAGTGTACTCCAATATCCTTGAGTTTCATTTTACCAAATGTATTTAAACTGAGAATACACACACACACACACATATGTACACATACACCCATCCATCCTGTGGGTGGAAGTATTTATAATAGTTAATAATAGTTAATCATATGGGCTTTGAGTTCAGATAGATCTGGCTAAAACATTTAACCAAAAGTGTGACTTGGGGCAACTTAAGTCACCTTTCTGAATTTCAGTTTCCTCCATCTCTAACATGATTTCATTATCTCTACATTCTAGTAGTGTTGGGATGATAAATTTATATAAGCTGTGTAAAAAACCATATAGTACCTAATTTATGGTAAACTCTCAATACATAGTATATTTCTATATCATTTCCTTTCTGATGAGCCAGAATCTTAAAATGTTTATGTAATCATTAAGATAATTTGTGAAAAGATAGAAATTAGTCATTTAATAACAGCTGTAATAATTAAATGCCAGCTACTAAATAGTTGTACGATGGAATTTTACTTGCTCTTTTACCCATATTTTCCTATAGGAAATTTTATCTAATATCTAAATAGTTATTTTTGTTAATTCATTTAAGATACTTAAGCATGAAATATCAGCCTCAATTTTTTATTGAAATTTTATACTGGTGGAATGCATTTAAACTTTTCTGTATTTATAGGCAGGGACCTGAATTCTTTTAGACTGACATTGGGAGCAAAAGGTGGCTAGAAGAGAAGATAATAGCWATCAGGAAATTTAGGAGGTCAGAAATAAAGAAAAAGATAAAGTTGATATAAATTTTCCAATTATCAGAACATTTTATGTGGCTTAAGAATTTTTGAAGTAACTGTGACCTAGATTTTAGTTTTCTGGAGCTGAGGCAAAAAGGTTAAGTAACAGATTAGAAATCACTAAGAGTGGGCTGGGGATGTGGAGTGGTATCGCGCCCGCCTAGCATATGTGAGGCACTGGGTTCAATTCTCAGCACCATGTAAAAATAAAATAAAGATATTGTGTCCACCTAAAACTAAAAAATGAATAGWTTTTTTAAAAAAAAGAAATCACTGAAGTATATTTAATATTGTGTTTCCAAAAACAGGTTCTCCTCTGACTCATTGTCTGTATGCTGATAGTGCTTTTAGATAAAATAATGGCTGTTTTCTCTAAAAACCAAACTAAAATGATCAAGGAGGTAGCTTAGTAGATTGTGTTTTGTAGCTTAAACAGAAGAGTGTGTCTGTCACCTTAGAAAGTTAAGACCTTTCAAACTAAAAAGATAACACCTAAGAATATAAACTAAATAAAACTACTGATTTTATATTCAAGATGAACCGAGATGTCAAACCTTACACTTTGTCCACCACTATATATTCAGTATGTGAAACAGTTCCTGGCCTCTTAATAGTTGATCTTTGTTGTTTAATGATAAAGTAAAAATTTAGAATACTAATATTAGGTTAAACAGTATTTGAAATTTTGGAGAGTTGATTTTAGGACTCTAAACTTAAATAGATGAATGGATTCGTAGTACAGATAAATTGATAGATGATAAATTCATAATAAGCCATCAAGAAGTTGAAAGTGAGCTAGGCATGGCACACACCTGTAATCCTGGCTATATGGAAGGCAAAGCAGGCAGAGCACTGGAGCCCATGGAGTTCAGATCAACCTGGGTAACATAGACCATGTCTTAACAAAAAGTGAAAAGTAATGCCTGACCTTCTGAAAATTAACTTTTGAAACAACAGCTACCATAATGTCAAAATATTTCTTGTTGTCACCGTGAGAAGCAACGTRTAATTGAATGAAGTAGATTGTGTTGACCTACTATAACATTTATAATGAGTTGAGGAAGGAATTAATTTTAAGAAGTACAGATATTGTACCTATAAGTAATAATTATAGAATATGAAAAGCAATAAATAAAGGAAATCTTTATGTTTATGTCTAATGCCAGAGAGGATTTTAGGAGGGAAAAAATACAATCAAAGATTTAACATCTGATTTATCTTTTCTATTATGGGTGTAAGAAATTCTGTCTCCCTACATGAGGATTAGGCATTCCCATTCATAGTTTTAAATTCTGAGGTAATTTGCTGATGTCAGTTTAATTTGTTTGAGATCTGAATGAATGTCATTATGAAGTTAACCTGCAATATTGGACAGTGATTTCTTTATATTAGCCAAAAGAAAAAGTAGAAAATTATTCTTGTTTACTTTACAGGGATATTAATGTGACTTTAATTTTTCTCTATCCTTAACCATATAACTTTTATTGCAGAAATTGGAATGGGATTAACAGGATTTGGAGTGTTTTTCCTGTTCTTTGGAATGATTCTCTTTTTTGACAAAGCACTACTGGCTATTGGAAATGTGAGTTTTGGAATATATATTTTAACTAAATTCATAAAGAATTTTTTAACTACAAATGAATTATTACCTGCTGTCAGATTTGGGAAATATAATTTATTCCTGTGTAATTACTAATATATACTGTATTTCCATCAGGAATGCAACCTGTCAGCTTTCTGTTTAAATAAAAGATGAACACTTAATGAGGTGTTCTAATTCCAAAACTATTTTGTTAAGTTACACCAAATTAAGTAAAGGTTATCTTTAAATGGCCATTCAAAATAGATGTCTTGATAGTCCCATGGCTTAGTAAATGTATTAAAATGTTTTGACTATAAACATCTGAGGCGATTGAGCTGCATGAAATAAACAGATTTTTAATAACCTTTTAAATCTTTTAAAATATACCACTGTGTTATTAATTGACTTGCTTAGAAAGGTTATGTGCTATTTGGACTGTGTAGTGCACTGTCCACGTGTGGGGGTTGTATAAGAGCTCCAGAAATAATAACCCTCCTAAGAAGGCAATAAAGTTACTGAATAATGATTACATTTCTTTTGAAGTACATTTAAAGGACACCAAAATTGGTCTTTTAATAAATGATAATATAAACAGCATTTGTACGCAAGAATATGAAGCTGAACTGTTAGGCTTAATATACATCTGTGTGAAGTAGTTTTCACTAATGAAGAACAATGGGAAAGGGAAGTATTTCAAAATAAAACACAGGAAAAGGAAGACTCTTAATAGTTCACCACTACTTGTTCATGAACAGAACATACAAAATATATGTATATTTTTAAAAACCTGGTTGTATTTTTATTTCTGATGCCAAGCAGATATTTAGAAGTAATAAAACTGGAATATCCTTCCTAGCTTTGCATTGTATGTTCTGTTCTACTATGTTCTAGTCATGTCAATATTTCTCCCATCCATAGAAACTCTTTTGGCCCATGTGAATATTTTGGAACCAGAAGGAATACCTTTGAATGACATRTCTATAGGCAGCTTCTCTGAGCCTTGCCAGCTTATCACTCCACTAAGCTATCCTCATCCAGCCACACTAAGGAAACTACTGTAAACACAGATGCCCCTTTGTAACATCTTTCTTTGTTTCTCTTTTTCTCCTTTTAATCAAATAGAAAAGGAATAAGATGAGTGGAATACAGCTACAATTTTAACATGCTTAAACCCACTCCTTGGTTTTCTTTCTTGGTTTTTCTCTTGGCCAGTTGCCCATGTTAAAAGTCAAATGTCCTTCTTTTTATTATATTTAGCATTGACCTAAATTTATGCTGTGTGGTTAACTACTTTTCCTGTGTTGCATTTTCTTTCTCTTCTAGGTTTTATTTGTGGCTGGCTTGGCTTTTGTAATTGGTTTAGAAAGAACATTCAGATTCTTCTTCCAAAAACATAAAATGAAAGCTACAGGATTTTTCCTAGGTGGTGTATTTGTAGTCCTTATTGGTTGGCCTTTGATAGGCATGATCTTCGAAATTTATGGATTCTTTCTCTTGTTCAGGTAGGCAATGATTTTATTTTCTCTTTCAATAARTTGGCATATCAGATAATTATTGTAAAATCTCAGGTACATATATCAGTGTTAGTAATATGATCATTTCCTTTAATGAATTGTGGTTTAGGTTGAATTTTTTATTTTGGTTTTAGATCAACCAACTATAAAAATGCTTACCAAATGTACATGATTGCCTAAATAAGTATAAATTGTCTTGTAAATTACTTTCAATGCAGTAAAATTCATTTTAGTGTCATTTTAAAACAGTATCTTTATGTTTGATATTTTTATCAACTAAACAAACAGTGATAGCTAGATAGACACATCTAGAATTTTAACATATAAAAACTGATACTTCATAGTTCAAGTGACAGTCCACTTGACTGTAATTTGTTTATTAGTACATATTCATATTAGCAAATCCTGTACCAAAGGAACTATGGGCGATTTAGATCAATGAATATTTTTACAAATGGCAGTTAGCAAGTAAATCAACAAAAGCATGCATGTGAGAAAATACCTTTATTAAGGTTGGCATTAATTATTTGTTTAAACAATGCATATCCTTTGTCTTTTGTCTACTGGGCACTTTATTATAAGAGCCATAAAAACAACTTAAGGGCCAAACCTGCTTTAGGAAATCTCTCATTTCTAATATGGAAAGAAGACCATAAAGATACGAAGCAGATATAGTCATAATATTATTTACATATATATATATATATATAATATACATATATATTATATATATACACATACATATATATATAGTCATAATGTTATTTTATATATATGCATGTATAATTAAGGAATTAATCCAAGCAGAGGCAAGAAATATTAACAAATAAACTGTACCTTAAAGAATGAGTTAGAATTCATCCCATAAATGAGAAAATGAAGGGCAGTTGACTGACAGAAGTAGCAGACAGGGTCTTGAAAGTCACAGCTTGTTCTAAAAATAATAGTCTGACAGAAAAAGAGCATGTGATAAATGGAAGAAAATGGTTGGCAATGAGACAGAAAAGGAAGTTTGGGGTCAGGTTGCAAACTTTCTTTGAATGACTTGTTACTTTATTCTCTTACCAAATTTGTGCTAAGGACAAGTATTTGGGGAAGAGAGGGGTACAAAGATTTTTAAGCATAAATGGATACAGCCTGGTAAATGTTCTAGAAAAATTGTTCTAACCTTAGGATAAATCATGTATTGAAAAGAGAAGACTGAGAAGCTAGTTAAGAGGCTCTTGATACAGCACAGAGTATAGAATGATAGTATTGGAATCTTAGAACCCCTTGACATTTTAGGGAAGAGAAAGAAACACTGGAAGAGATCAGAGAAGAACTAGAAGTAAGGATCATAGTGGCCAAGAAAGGAGAGGGTGAGGAAGAGCAGTTCATCATAGCAGATTATGTTCCAGCAGAAGACGAGTACCTTAATTAAGGACCATGGGGGGAAATCATTAACTTTCTTCATTCAATAGGAATTTTAGTAGTAAAAGTTAAATGCCAAAGTGATCTTTGAGATGAATAAAGGATGAGAAGTCAGCATCATTGGTAACTTGGAATGATACATTGGCTCCATGGTTTAGGGAAGCTTTTTTATTGTTGAGTTTTATATTTTAAGGTGTTCTTAGTTTGAGATATAGTGCCAAAGATCTTTGACATTCTTTTTCCAGATATTTATAATCCTAAATGGTAGCATTTGAAATCACACATTTTTATATTTAAAAATTATTTTAAAACAAAATAAAATGATCCTTTTGGATTTAATACTGCTAGAAAACAATTATAATTGTCTTTGAAACATGTACAATGCACCATCAATAAAAGAACTATTTCTCTAATTTAAAAGCTACTGCTTTCTGTTTAATCCTTTTAGTTCATATATGTTGCAGATTCATTATTGCTCATTTCTGAATTCTATCCACTGTAGTATTTTCATCCCTATATGCCTAACTTTAGGACCCATAGAAAGTTTATTCCTTGTGCATTTTTTAAATAAACTATTTCCCTCTTCCTGTACAGTGGTAGTTTAACTGATCAAGAATTAAACTAGTTAGAAGCTATGTACTTCTGTGGGCTTGTATTTCTACCCAAAAATGTGACACAATATAAGGATTACCATCTGACAGGTAGTCTGTCATTGTTCGTTAAATGCTGGCACTTACTATTTATTCAGTAAATGATAGCAATTATTACTTTCATGGTTCTATACATATGGTCTCCACAGCTCCTTTCTTTTGATCAGTTTTACCTCGTACAACTCACTATGGTTGAGGAAATCTTTAGCAGTTGAACCAAGATAATACAGAATCTGAGTGTACAACACAGCTAAGCTTTATTATGCTGTTTCTCAGGTTTTTAACCAGTGGTCAAAAGTTTTTACATTACATTTGTAGTAATTCATGATTCTCTAAAACATTCACATTTTTAATGGCATCATTTCTTTTTAGTTAGTTATTYGTGCTTGATCTTGGTAATAGAAATATGTAAGTTTTAAGAACCTTTTTTCTGTGTCTCCCAGGGGCTTCTTTCCTGTGGTTGTTGGCTTTATTAGAAGAGTGCCAGTGCTTGGATCCCTCTTAAATTTACCTGGAATTAGATCAGTAAGTAATCATGTATTTAGCAATGTGTTTTTAGACCACCAAAATGAATACATTTTGATGCTTCTTACCTTTAGAAATTTGAGTAATTGGTACATGATTAATTGAYAAGTTTTTCATTATGATATAAATGACTATATCACATAAATCATGGTTACCAAGAATACCAGAAAATAAACATTGCTAAGCCTGTAAAACCTAGTTTTGTTTCACCGTGTCCATTTTTACTATTCTCTATTTTTTAGTGTTACTCAGATTGATAATGCTGTGCTTCCTTTCTCTTTGAGAGTTCAAGGTTTTTTCCATTATATAATCTCTAATTTTAGAAGCAATTACATAAAAAAGAAACCATTATGTCTAGCACTTATTTTATTTCTCAGATTGTAATACCAATTTGAATGGATTAAGAAAGTTAGATAAAGGACTCTTACACTGGAAATCAGTTGACAAGATTCTGTTCCCAGCCCTGTCCAAAGTTTGAACAATCTTGTCATGTCTTTTTCCCCTGGTAGACCTTGACTTTCATCTTGATAAAATAAAGGAGTCAAATCAAATAAGAAGTAAAGGTTAAAGAAAACATTTTTAAAAATGACAAGAGAATTTTCTTCCCTTTATTTAAGGTTCTTTCAGTAAATGTTTGGTACTAAGTCATCCCACCTATTAGTGGGGCTCAGACGGCCTTATAGGATTCAACTTCCTTATTTCTTCCTTAGAAAAATCTTTCCTGACATGCTATTGCTGGCATGGGGTTTGATTCTGTAGCATCCCTGTGCACGCCTCTATCATAGCATTATCTTTGTTTTGATTGTCAAGAGAAAGGCTTGTCTTCAGGGACAGAGATGAGTTTTATTTTTAATCATTCTTCTATTCCAATGCCCAGCTAACAGCTGGCATATAATAGAAACTCAAAACATTTTTGCTAAATGAATGCACTGGGGGTGTAACCTAGTAATAAAGCACTTGCCTAGTGTACACAAGGCCCTGTATCCCCAGCACCACATAAAATAAAATAAAAAATAAATGAAGGATGATCTTTTGTTATCCTGAGGGAATTTGGTCTATCTCAAGACAGTTCTGGATAACTGTTTTTTAGTCAGCCTCCATAAATTTTAAAACTAAATGAGATCCTTAAATCCTAAAAGAATCTGGAGTTGATCTGCRTTGGGAACAATCCTTTTGGCTCTGGATATGATCCATGTCAGAAGTAATTCTATTACCTAACCTTCTTCATAACCTCCTTTGGAGAAATTTCATAGTTCCAAGTCCATCCTGAACAACCAGGACAAATGGGCATTAAAGCAAATTTTAGGAATCCCAAGTTCTGGTTATGTCTTGGGAAGTCCATCAGTTTTCTGAAGTCATGTACATATTTTTTATAGGTGTTTCTAAAGAGAAAGTCCATAGCATTGATTGAATTCTCAAAGARCTAAAGGATGGCTTGTCCACAGGAAAATAAATACCACTATAAGCCTAATCACATTTCTAYCCATGGGTTAATTTTAGAGTTGGAATCTTTCCTTTAGAGAGAGAATGTTGTACTTTTTTGGCTCTGAAATTTACTTTAAAATTCTAGCAAATTCATGAATACTTTCCAAGCAAGTTTTAGCTTTGGTGCGTTGATTACCTACCTGTAATAATACAAAATGTTGAAACCTAGGCTTATAGGGGTATATCCTGATTTCATTTGCATTTATCTTCAGACTCATATAGTAATAATGTTTATATTTAGAATGACTTGAATTTACTGAAATTTCTTAAAGAGTTGTAATCAATATTTGTGTCCTTAATTTAAGAATTCTGCAATATTTGCATAAATGGACACCTGACAGAATAATGCTTCCTACCATTAGTACTTAGTTATAATAAATATTTAAATACAACTATGAAGTGTGAAGTGAAAGAAATAGATGATTGCTAGAATTTGATAAGATTATAAGCACTGGGGTGATATTACTTTTAGTATCTCCACTAATTACATACTTTGTTTCAATCTTTACCATCTGGAATGCTGAAGAAAGCCAAACTACTTTTTATTTGGGGTGGAGTAACCAAAGTAAATAACCATTTACATTAATGTGTGTTAAAGTTTATATTTAATAATTATAAATTTTTGCATCATTAAATCTGTTTTTAATGCCATTGCCACTTTCAGTCTGAAGTCCAGAATACACATTTAAAGTATTTTTAGTCAATAGCTGTTGTTAATTATTGAACTTAATGGAGTTAAATCTGTTTGTTCAAAGACGACATAGGCCCCGAAGAGATCCACAATAATGGTCAGTTGAAATATCTTATTGGGTTCATTAATGCATGAGTGGCTGACATTTCAATTTTGTTTTTTTGTTTTTGTTTTGTTTTGTTAAGCTAGCAGTGTTAACATCRTTTTATACAATTTTTTTATTCATTGTGTTGCATTTTTCATGTTGCACCCTTAATTCATATGTACAACATGTCATACAAAAACAACTTTGAAAAAATATATATCTTTATGTGTCAGAAAATGGTGGTGAGTAATACTGGATTAATCATTGTCAATCATACTTTAAATTTCCACAAATTTTCTTGTAAAGCTGGATTYWTTYWMT